ACCTTGTAGGTCCACATGATGAACTATCAGGCCTGAAAGCCAGCGTCCACCCGAAGTCAGCAAGGCTTCAGGGCAGCCTGCACCATCGTCGTAGCACCGCGAGACGACCATGAAGGTAAGCAGGTGAGTGGCGCGGAATTCTGTCCAGAGGTCGACGTCGTCTTCATCCGGTGCCGCCACGTCGCTGTCGACGAACTTCTTCAGTCCCGGAATCTCCAGCCCAACTCAATCGTCTCCCTCCACGTTAGGAGGTCATGTTGACCTTCCACCATCCCGTGCATGGCGACCTTGTCCGGCTAGAACTTGAAGTAGCTGTAGGACGGCGCAATACCGCCATCTCGACCAACCGACCTATGGGTCGCCAATGACGTCCTGACTCCACTTCGCTGAGGGGAGTGACGTCGAGCCTCAACGTCAATGTGTGAGCTGCCTGCTATCGCCGACCGCAGCACTTGCGCCTGCATCCCGCCGACGTCGACATCGGCGGCCCGAATCACTCCACGGATCACCCTCATGCCTAAGCTGTTGACTTGGCCGTCGCCACCTTCGTTGTGTACAGATCGGAAGAGGCAGATGCACCGTCAGGTTGGGGAGGATGCTCGCCCCACTGCGCACGAGTGCCTAGGAGGAGCACCTTCAAGCTCGCCTCGCCAAACTCGCCAGCCTCATGGCGTGCCCAAATACCAGCCTTTCGCGCCTGCAGGGTATCCTCTACTCCTGCAGCGACACCTTGGTCGCCTATGGCGGTCTAAGACGGTTGCCGGCCTAACAACGACTTAGGTAAGGCGCAAAGCCGGCTACTACCTGAAGGTATCTTGCGGGGCCGTCCATGCTCACCGCACCATGCAAAGAGTCACTCAACAACGTTAGTAGCTGGACTATATGGGAGGCTACGGGGCTGTACGTGTGATCGATGCGTTCCTTGCGTTCTCTATACTTGCGCGTTCACAGGGAACATCGGCAAGAGTGTCATCAAGAATTAAGAACAACAACAATGAACATTTGCAATGGCAAAGTGGATACATAAAAAAGCAACAATCATAGCATCCCAGTAAGTCGACCGCCTGCACAACACAAGGGCGGCTTGCCAGTGCTGCAAGTCGGCGGCCTGCTAACGCAGTTGGGAGGCGGCTTGCCAGCACACCAAGATGGAGGTTTGCCAGCATTGCACCAAGGCGGCTTGCCAACGTTGCAGCAAGGCAGCTTGCCAACGTTGCAACCACAGGTGCCCGTGTGCGCACATTTGCGCACCTACCAAGCAGATGCTGGTAGACAGTTGTGCACGTCGTGCACTGTCACGCATATTGGGCAGCTGTCAGGTCAGCCACATGCCAAAGGTTTCGCAAGATGCACCACATTGACCACGTGATGCCGTCACGCACACCGACTTCCCCAAAACCACATGGAGCGAAGTTCGCGCACCCCCGCAGAACTTCGTCGACGAGGTTACCGGGTCAACCAGAAAGGCCGCTAAGTCGGTGCCCGTAGGTCGGCGGCATGTCTGCAACCTCCTTCGTTGACTGCCGAGGCAGGGCGTCGTCCACCGGCATCACTTCGTCGGCCAGCTTCGTGGCCGGCTTCGCTATGGTCGACTTCGACGAAGTCGGCTACACAAGCCGACTTGTTCCACCAGGTCGGCGTCGACCACGAAGTCGGCTTCGCCGTTTGTTGAAGTTGGCTACGCAGTGGTCGGCTTCACCGAAGTCGGCTAACCCCCGATGTCGGCTCCGCCGAAATCAGCTCCAATGAGGTCGCCCAACCAAGCCGCCTTGCTCCTCCAAGTCGACGCCGACCACGAAGCCTAGCTGGCTGCACACCTTGCAAGCCGGACAACGAAATCGACTTCGCCCTAGCGAGGGCGTGGCCTTTTCTCGTCAACATAATTTGTTTGTAGCTTTGGTCTGTTACAGTATGCCGAGAAAGTGCCATTGAGTCACTGGTGGTGATCGGTATGTCCCACTCCAATTAAGCCCATTCGGAGTGGCTAGGCTCGGAGGGGAGCGCCGACATCCACCGACACTAACGAGTTTCCGTGACCTTCTGGGGATGATCGGTACACCCTCGCCACTATGAGCCGGGAATTTGTGAGAAGGTACACAAATCCCCAAAAGGACTCAGAGTGGAGTGAGTAGTTGAAATGTTAAGCCTGGACTTCGTGGTGGGCCCACTCGGAGTGGGATTTGCCAGTAGTTGGAAATCCATGTTCGGTTCCTAGGTGGTATATTCGGAGTGCGAGAATTTGCGTATTTTGACCCATTTTGGCCCACTCGGAGTGGGCAGGCTCGGTGTTATTATATTGGCAACGTAGGCTTTAACTACCAGTTGCGCCACAAGAGTTTGTGAAACCCGTCGCAACTTCCGCAGTCGGAGTGGAGGGCGTACCGATCACCGCTACTGACAGAATACTATGCATGTATCGGAGGACACCGAAACCCATTTAAGAAGACGAGACCTTACTCTCAATACACCTTGTTTCCCGCTACACTGAAGCGCGTAAACATGCTACTTTTCCTTGACAGAATTCAGAATTTGCTTTTAACCGTCCATATCGGGTGGGTGTTGTGAGGGGAACTTCCAAAAGTTCATTTTCCCTGAATACCCTGCTTAGCCATTCTAAAATGTTAAGTGACCGTTCTAGAACGAAGGGCACCACTTTGGATCTCATTTGTGCGAAATCCACTATGACGTGGGTGATAGCGCGCTCCTGGACGCGGTGAATTTCCACAAACGGAGATTCCAGTATAACGAAATCCACTATGGCGAGAAACAGTGTATTTGTGTCAAACCTATGGTCTGTCGTCCGAGCTCCCGTGCACACTTCGTGTCTTCTAAATTGAACCGCTTTTCACCACTCGGAAACATTGCCTTACTGCTCAGAAATTCCAGCTGGGGCAATCCACACACAAACGGTGTACAGCTCGAACCTATGTGGAAAAGACGGTTGATTTGATACAGGTGGACTGTTGCTGAAGCCCGTAGAAAACCAAGAGTCTTGTGAAGTCAGGTGAACTGTAACAAAAGCCCCGAAATTCCATATTATTTTGAAGACCTGAGCATAGATTCATTTTTGCTACTGGTGCTCTGCGCAGGTTTCCCAGGGGCCGTGTCACACCCCGACCAAATTTCGGGGCTCTGCGTAAGCAGAGACCCCATAGGCGTGCGGTGCACTGCGTCGGCTCGGCTCGGGGCACGGGTTTCGGAAGGCTCCAGGAAAGCAGTGTGTCGTAAAACGCGCAAAAACATTCTATGTCCTAATATAATATTAGCAAATAACTCTTTGAATTTTTATCTTGAAACATTTCTTTCCCGAATCAGTGCCCAGGTTTGGCCTCCCGCCTGCTTGGAGCCTTCCTGATGTACCGAGCCGATGCAGTGCACCGGCAATTGCAACACGCCGTAAACCCTGACCTTATGGTATTTTCCTCCTGGTGTACGCTTGCTTCCCAATTCCCATTTTTTGGGCTTATGAGCGCTACACCACCTTTTTGTAGATCGTTTGAGATTTCATTTCATTACGCATTAATGGCGCGGATGACCGAGAAAGCTGCCCAACCAGCAGAGAATGTTTAGGTCTGGGTTCTAGGGAAGCTTCGACTCATGTGTTTTGTTTCCTCGTAGTGTACTTGCAATTGTTGATGTGCACCCCCCTGCGGTGTGATTGACCAGGGGTGGCTGAGTTGAATGCTGCTGTCAACGTCGTTGCTCTGCCCGCGTGCAGCCACGCCGTGCAAGCAACCGGCGTGTGGCGCGAAAATGGGTCCAGTGGAGTGACGTGTGAAACAAAAAACCCTGGCCTCACCGCGCCGTATATTACTACTTGCGGTGGCGATGGCTGTAGTTGGCCTTGCTTGTTTCTTCCTTGCCAGCTCGGACGTTAAAAGATATGCTCGATCATATCCCTCCTAGGTACAAATGTGAGAGCTGAAAGAAAACTTCAGGCTAGACAATAGCTTTCCTCGTTCACAAGGACCACGCTCCTCGTGTACAGTACCTATGAGTTCCGACTCATGGCACAGTATAACCTTGCACTTCCGCGGCTGGAACAGCTGACCCTGCTCCAAATCAGAAGCAAATCCGTCTGATGACTACTGTTTTCCGCTAAATACTGTACTCGCTTCAGAAGCTTTCTAGGCTTGAGTGGGTCATTTGAACAGCTGTAACGGCATGTGAATCCGGGCTGGGAAGAGAAACGCTAGGCTCTAACTTGCTGGGATATTGGCTGGCATCTCAAGAATTGGGATTGCGATTGCTGGAGTTGTTATCGTGGTGTGGTGCGCACTCAGTTGGTTCAACCAGGCTGAGGATGGTCCTCCCCGAAGCAGAAACCCCAGTCTGACCTGACCTGACATTGGAGATTTGACCTTTGAATAGTAGTGACATTGAATTTCCATGGACTGCACATGTAACGCCTGTGGGCTGTGTTAAGGGCACTCCGCTGCGCCAAATACACCCAGTGGGTAGCGAGGTGTTATACTGGTTTCAGAGCCTAGGGTTCGAGTCCCGGCTGGTCCACATTTTCCACCTATGGTGAGAACTGAAGTGTGGTTACCAGCTCGAACCCAGTGAACGATCCTGAAATCTAGGTCCCAGCGGCAGGGGGCCGACTCCCTGAAGTCCGAGGCCAACGGGGACGTTGGCACCAGGGGGGGACGAGTGTAACGCCTGTGGGCTGTGTTAAGGGCACTCCGCTGCGCCAAATAACACCCTCGTTTTGACCCAGTGGGTAGCGAGGTGTTATAGCACACCTAGCACACTCATCTCCAAAATGCACTCTTGTCTATAGACACTCTTGTCTCCAGAATAGCACACTTTCTGACACTTACTAGACTTGACATGCACCACCGAGTCATAATCTGATCCGCTGCTAGTAGTCGCGCCGCGAGCGCCGCTCCCCGCCAAGCGGCGCTGGCGATCACCCGCCGGCGAAAAGACAGCGGCGGATCTGGTAGTACGCTATACTACTAGCTGTCTCTACCGTAGCTGCTGCTGAGTAGCTGCCGATGACACCGCCGAAAGCCGCTCGAGGCAGCGGTTGGAGCAAGCACGTCACCCCAAGTTGCTTGAAGGAGAAGCAGGCAGCGGGGGAAGGCGGGGAGGATGACACGACAGGGGGGGTTCCAGTCGGTTGCTCCTCGGTGCTATTCCAGGGTACTTTACAATGAATAATGGGTGCTTTCAACTAGGATTTTGAGGATCAATGGATCGATCTCCCTCGTCCACATCGTCCGTCCCTCGCACCGCCTCCCCTCTTCTGCCGCTCTCACCGGCTACCAGGATCGCAACTAGGGCGTGCTTAGGGATCTCATGGCTTCGTCACGTTGCTAGGGTCAAATCGCCGTGAAGCTGCTCTGCTACACTCTCTGAAAACGCTATTCCCACTTGCAAAGAAAGACGTTTGATCTCACAACCACTCTCTCCCTTCACCACTCTTCTCTCCCTGCATTTCTCTTCATCCTGCGCCTTCCATACCCTGGTTTGACCCAGTGTTAGGCGGGGCGTTATAGCAGGGTAGCACGCAGACAGCGATAGCAGCAGCCCCTCCTCTCACCCCTTGCTTCCCCCATTCTTCTCCCGCTCCTCCCTCCGCATTCCCTCCCTCCCCTCCCAGCTCCCTTGTTCACGGTGCTGGTGGTCGTGTGGGTTCTATGCGGCGCAGTGATAGCGGCATGGCTGCTGTGTGATCGGCACAAGCAGTACGAGAGGCGCAGGGGGGAGGCGCTGGGCGTGTGGTGCAAGGAGCGCGCCCTCATGCTGCAGCAGCTCGTGCTGGCCCACGCGGTGCAGATGCAGGTAGTAAAGCTGGGCTGGAGCAGACGCGGTTAATGCTGGATTGCTCACCCATGCGGGGCAGATGCAGGTTCAGTGAACTCTTAAATGCTTATGTGAGAAAGTTCCTTAAGCACTCACAGTTCTGGTGCTGGCACAGCACAGCACCGCACAGCACCGCACAGCACAGCACAGCACAGCACCGCACAGCACAGCCGCACAGCACAGCACAGCACAGCGCTCACTGCTGCGGCATGAGCACAGAGGCTCCAACAGGCATCGTCCATCCATGCGTAAGCAATCCTGGGCAAACGCACGTAAAGGAGCAATGCGTTTTTCTGTTCATCCAACTTTTGGATCCCAATCCCCTCCCGTTCTCCAGACTCTGGCGGGGCTGATTTCTGTGATGGGAACGCCAGGGCGGACGAGCAAGTGGGACATGGGCGGGTGTTTGAACGGCAGCATGTGGGTGTCTTATCTCACTCGCACCGCTCAAACTCGCCCGGGGAACACTGGCGCGGTCGCGTGTGCGGTGGTGCACGACGCAGAGAGGTGAGGGGGGTGGGGCAAGTAACTTGGGTTGCAAAAGCAGCAAACCTGGCAGCAAGGGTGTTTGAACGGCAGCATGTGAGTGTCGTATCGTATCATATCTCACTCGCTCGACACAATCTCGCCCGGGGAACACTGTTAATGTGCGGGGGTGCGCGATGCAGAGCGGTGGGATGGGAGGGAGGGAGGGATGATGGAGTAGAGTGAGGAAAGGTTGAAGGGAGGTGAGAATCGAGGCAGATGAGAAGTTTGACTGAGGTTAGAAGGAACAGCATCAAACCTGGTGACAAGTGTGGTTGAGTGCCGTAAACCAGACCAGCATATCCGAACGAACTCCCCTTTCCCCCACCCCACCCCTCTCCTTCCCGCCGACCCCCTCTTCCCACACACATTGCTGCAGGGCGGCCTTTGAGAAGCAGTACAGCAACATCAGAGACAACACTTTGATCGTCAGTGCCTGCCCGCCGCCCCATCTACTGCCCCAAGGTCCTTGAGCTCACAACGCTCTTTGCCACGAACGGCCCCTCCCTCCCTCTCCTCCCCTCCCCCTATTTCCACACACCTGCAGGGCGACCTTTGAGAAGCAATATGAGAGCATCAGAGACAACACGCTGATCGTCAGTGCCCGTCGCCCCATCTACTGCGCCAAGGTCCTCGAGCTCACAACGCTATGGGCCACCAACGGCCCCAGCAACATCGACATGTTTCAGCGATTCTCCTGGGCCATCCCGCTCGTGGAGCAGGGAAAGCACTTCTACACCTGGCCGTACCCCCTTGCCAACCCACTCACTCATGCCGGATTCGGTGAGTGGGAGAGTGAGGGTGTGAGCGAGTAAGTCCATGCGTGAATGAGCAAGCGAGGGAGTGAGCGAGCGAGTGAGTGAGTGCGCAATGGTAGCGCAGCCGTGGCGGTGGTGTGAGTGACCTGCCGGTGCTGCTCTCTGAAACGCTCTCTCAAGCGCACCGAGCGAGCTCAGCTCACAAGGCTCTTTGCCACCAACGGCCCCAGCAACGTCGACATGTTTCAGCGATTCTCCTGGGCCATCCCGCTTGTGGAGCAGGGAAGGCACTTCTACACCTGGCCGTACCCCCTCGCTAACCCGCTCACCCATGCCGGATTCGGTGAGTGAGTGAGGGTGTGTGTGTCTGTGAGGGAGCGAGTGAGTGATTGAGGGAGTGAGGGAGGGAATGAGGGAGTGAGTGAGTGAGTAATAAGTAGCTATGAGGGCTATTTAAGATTTTACTAAATAAAGCATTACCTTACCTCCCTTGGTGGAAAATATTATCTTTTGAACGATTCAGTGAGGTATCTTGGTGAGGCGACTACTGCAGCAACTGAAAAGTGGTGATAAGGAAGAAAATCTGACCTCACTCGCTCCTATCGACCCCCTATTTACTATCCCCCTTGTTGCTCTCCACACTGCCTCAGGAGTCATCTTTCATCTCCGTCGCCTAAACTCAAACCACTAGAGACAGCCGCAGGCAGGAGTATGCATCTGTTCCGAATCGCTCCTCTTTCCTATCCCGTTTGTTGCTGTCCACCCTGTCCCAGGTATCGCGGTTCCTATCCTCCGCAGCCTCCCCACTAACAACTCGAACCAGTCAACAGCAGAGGCAGGAGCAGTGTACGGGTCACTCGCTGCATCCGTTGACGTGACTTACATTGCCCAGAAGGTCCTAGAAGAACTATATGCACCTGGTGAGTAAAGGGGTGTATGCACCTGGTGAGTAAAGGGGTGTATGCACCTGGTGAGTAAAGGGGTGTATGCACCTGGTGAGTAAAGGGGTGTAAGCACCTAGTGAGTAAAGGGATGTAAGCACCTGGTGAGTAAAGGGGTGTAAGCACCTGGTGAGTAAAGGGGTGTATGCACCTGGTGAGTAAAGGGGTGTAAGCACCTGGTGAGTAAAGGGGTGTAAGCACCTGGTGAGTAAAGGGGTGTATGCACCTGGTGAGTAAAGGGGTGTAAGCACCTGGTGGGTAAAGGGGTGTAAGCACCTGGTGAGTAAAGGGGTGTAAGCACCTGGTGGGTAAAGGGGTGTAAGCACCTGGTGAGTAAAGGGGTGTAAGCACCTGGTGAGTAAAGGGGTGTAAGCACCTGGTGAGTAAAGGGGTGTAAGCACCTGGTGAGTAAAGGGGTGTATGCCCCTGGTGAGTGCATACACGAAATCACCTCTCTCTCTCTCTCGAATGCACCTGGCTTTGCTTGTTGTGTCATCGCTTCTCTGCCTGGTTTGTCTCTCTCTCTCTCTCTCGAATGGTCCTTGTATTTCATATGGGGTGGTACAAGGGAAGATGCAAACACAAAGCATAAACAAACACACAAATCGGAAACCTATCCCCTCCAAGTCCCCCACCTACTCCGCCCCCCCCCCTTGTCCGACCCTACTGGTCGAAAGGGGCCTCGATCAACTGGTGCAGCTGTCCCTCACTGAGAGGGATGGTGGGGCCCCGAAAGCCGAGCTCGTCCGCCGCTAAGGCCTCATTGGTCTTGGTGCGGATGGCGTTGGCCTGCGACCGCTGGAGGCACACACTCCAGCGCTGGCGGTACTCCGTCAGCAGCTTCGCTGCTTCGTAGGAGGTAGGTGCTGCGTTAAACCGCAGCTTCGCCGCCAGCTCCGCGCATTGCCCCAAGTAAGCCATCACCCCTGGCGAGGGGTAGCCGTAGGTCTCTACTGCAAGCGCGTGGAACCCCACCCACGCGTTCCGACGGGCGTACTTCTCCTCCTTTTTCGCCGCTGCCGCCCTAGCCGCCCATCCAGGAGCTCGGTTGCAGTTCTCGTCCTGGTAAGACACCGGGTCCGTCACGGTCACGTCGCACATCCAAACCTCTCCAGTCAGGGGATGACGGATAGAGACATCCGCCTTTAGGTTTTCAACCAGAGAGTAGACATACGTCTCCTTGTGAACCGTAAACCCCGCCTCAACCCCTATGTTCGCAATCTCATCCCGCAGAGCGTGATGGGTTGCGGTCCTCCCTTTCCCCTTCTCGCAGCGCATGAGGTGGTTGGGGAGGCGATCGTCAGGGAAGGTGGTGCGGTAGCGGCAGTCACAGCGTCTGGGCACGGGGAGGGGGAGGCCTAGGCGGAAGGCAGCTGCAGTGGAGAGCTGGGATGGGCCCATCCGTAGCGAGGGGATGAGCGGGATCGCCAGCAGCCAGTCCCCCGCGCCTGGGCCTAGCACTGACTGCATCCTTTGCGCGTGGCCAGAACGGGGGTTGGGGCGCATCCGCCTTGCCTCGCGCATGACTCTCAAGAAGCGGTGGGAGTGAACCGCCAGCGCTAGGCTCTGCTGCAGCTTCAGTCCCTTGGTCTGCCTTCCCGGCCTGGAGCACCTCGAGAGCCTCTGGGGGGAGAGCTGCCTCAGCCGCAGCGAGGCGTGCAGGCATCGCATGCGGAGAGCCATGGGTCGGGTCCAGTAGGGGGAGGAGCGCGGCGATAGCGGGATGCAGTGAGATCTCCAGGGAGTGCAGGAGGTGGGCGGCGCTGATCACTGAGGCGAGGTAGGCGTAGCTGCTTTCAACAGCGGGGTCAGTGATGCCCAGGCCTCCCAGAGTCACTGGCAGTGCTGCCTGCCGCCAGATCCTCCGTCTCTCCCTGGCACTCCTCGGGCTCAAGATGTGGGCCGAAACCAAGAAGGTGTGGAGGAGCTGTTCCCCCCAAGCAGACCATTCCGCTTCCGGGAGGGCTTCCAGGGGGGTGGTTCTGGCCAGAAAAGATGCTCGGCGGCTGACACAGCGGGTGAGGAGGAGGAGACTAAGCTGGGGGTCCATCTGGGCTAGCAGGGGGAGAGGGGCTGCCGCTGCTGCCAATCTCTCTCTCACAGCGCCTGCACAGCCCCGGGGTGTGCCCACTGGGCTGCCGAGAATCTGCAACCCTTCTTCGGCGATACTAATGCCTGGGGGAACCGAAGAAGGGTCGATTGCTGCGGCAGACCACGCCGCGCATTTTCCCGGATTGTGAACCAGGCCGAGGGCGGCTAGTGCCGATGTGAGGTGGACAAATGCCGCTGTGCAGGCCGTGGCGTCGCCGAGCAGCGTGATGTCGTCGGCGTACGCCAGCAGGACCACCTGAGGGTGTGCTGCCGCCGTGTCAACGAGGCACGGATGGATGCTTGCCGCGAACAGGAGGGGGCCGAGCGGGTCCCCTTGGCGGACTCCTCTGGCGCTCTGCAGCGGGGCAGCGCCGAAGTCGTGGTCGAGGAAGAGAGAGGAGGCAGCCCCATAGGATAGGCGGACGAGGGGAATCAGCGCCTTCAGCGCCTCGTTTCTCAGCCCCTCGAACACCGCTCTCCTTTCGACCGCATTGAACGCGTTCGCGAGGTCAATCTGCAGCGCCACTGCCCCTGGGTGCACTTCCAGGTACGTGCGAGCGGTGTGGATAGCCGCTTCGATCCCCCCTGCTACTGCTACTCCGAACTGAAGGGGAGTAAAGTGAGTACGAGCGGCCGGCGCGGTCAGAAATAGGGCGGCCTTGGTAATGATCCGGAGGAGACATTCACCCACCGCGATTGGCCTCGTCCCACCTTGAGGTTTCGTAAAGGCTAACAGGCGGGAGGCCGTTAAGAGTTCCCCTGCGGTCGCGGGGTGTTTTCCTGCTAGAGCCGTGTTTGTGAGGGCGAGGAGATGGGTGAGTACTTCGGCATTCCCAAGGGCCGCGTCTCGGATGTGCTCGAAGGTGGTTCCTGAAGGCCCGGCCCCGACTCCATTGGGGAGCTTGGCGAGGAGACGCCTGAAGTCGCGGGCTTCGACAGTGGGTGGGTCTTCCGCCGTGGCAGTGTGAAGCCAATCAGGGAGTGATTGGCATGCAGGTGGGTGTCTCGCCGTGAGGGCTTCCAACACTTCAGGTGAGGCTGGCGACACGGGAGTGGCCTGGAGGGATTGAAGTGATTTTGACAGGTTACCCCGTTTTGCCAGTCCTTCCGCTCTTGCCAGGGTTCCAGTTGTGTCAGGTGCGTGGCGAGGTTGCGGTGGCAGGGAAATCGCCTGGACAGCTTCTTCGTATAGGACGGCCCAGGACCCTTGGCGAAAAAGCAGGAGCCGATTCATCATCGCGCTCCAGTCAGGCTTACGGGCTGACGAGGTTCGAAGAAGTAGGCGCGGGAGGAAGGTCAGTAACTTCCACCCAGGTGGGGACTCGGGATTGGCCGCGAGGTGGAGTAACGGTGTCAACATGCAGATCGCGAAGGATTCGCGAAGGGCTTTTTGGGGGGGTGGCGGGCAAGAGGAGGTTGGCGACTGTCGCGTAGCGGGTCAAGGTCCCAGTCTGCAACCTGGGCGAACAGGTCTGTGTTTTTCGCCAGGTCGTCAGGTTTGAGCATCACGGGGGTTGGATTAGGGGCTTCTGAATTTTCATTGGCCGCTGCAGAGTCAATTCCGTCTTCTGTCGCGGCTTGATTTCCCCCCCTTGCACGATTTCCCCCCGCGGTTCGGTTTCGATGTGTGGTTCGGTTCGCGGGATCGCCTCGGGCCTGCTGGTTTGGGGATTCCATTTCTTGAAGCAGCAGCTCCAACTCTGCCTCGTCCTCCTCTGCCTCAGCTTCGAACATCCCCTCTCTTTCTGAGTTAAAAGCGGGGTCACCCCCATCGCTTTCTTCAATCTCGACTTCGTCCTCTGCATCCTCGCTGAGCACCTCCTCGCCGCCTTCCGCGCCTTCACGCATTAGCCTTTCTGCTGTTCTCGCGTATCCGCTTGCGCCGGTACGGCGCCGATTTGTGCCGCGCGCTCCTCCACCTCGGCGTCCTCTCCCGTTCCCGCGTCGTCCGCGGCGGTTGCTGCCGCGTCCCACGCGGATTCCCCGCGTTCCTCTTCCTCCCGCCGCTCCCGCGCGCCCTGCCAGGGGCGCCCTATCCGCCTCGTCCCCAATAGGTCGGCGTGCTGGCGTCGGCTGCGGTGCTGTCGGAGGTGATGGACCCATCCGCGCGACGGGATCCGGAGCTCGAGGGTTCTGCGGAGAGCGCGCTGCCGGACCCTGCGCCTGCCGGGTTTCGACCGCGTGTCCCTGCGCATCCCTCCGCAAGCGAGCCCGTCCGCCGCTTTGAGCGGATGCTAACTCTTCCTCATCGGCCTGCCGCGCGCCCCACCTCGCCGGAGTATTCGTGGGCCCCTGCACGTGTTGCGTCAAGCCGCCCTGACGGTCAGCCGCGGCAGGAGCGTGGGCGCTCGCCTCCGCGTCAGCCTCCTCGGCAGCCCTCTCCTCGCCGCCCCTCTCCTGAGCGTCGCGAAGCCCCACAGCGCAGGGAGGGCGCTCAGCGGTCCCCGGCGCGTCCCCGTTCTCCTCGCCGCCCATCTCCTCGTGGTCGGGTAGGCCAGCGCTCACCCCGATCGCGATCCCCCGCGCAACGGTCTCCGCGGCAATCTCCGGCGACGCGGGGGAAGGGGTCACCTGGGCATCGTTGGGATTCGGGCCGACGCGAGCAGTCCCCTCCGCGACCGCACTCTGCTGGTTCCGGAGGTCGGCGGGGCCGGCGGAATGGCGGTGGGCGTGGCGGCAATTGTAGCGGGCAGGATCCCGCCCTCGATCGGGCCGCGAATGCATTTGCGGAAGTGGTGCGGCAGGCGCGGGCGAGTGGGGAGCCGACGCACGTGCACATTGAGGTGACCAACGGACCTCCCTTCGCCGCGGACCCAGGCCCGGTGGCTCCTCAGCGCGCGCCGACGCTGCGCGAGTATCTGCCCGCGCGGGAGGGGGGGGCTCGGTTTCGCACCCCTCGCCAGGTCCCGGGCTTCTCCGCGCAGCGCGTGACTGGTGGCCGGACTCCTGGCTGGTCGACGGCGTTTCCGCGCGAAGCTCCGACTGCACCTCCCCCCACTCACGCGGGGAGAGACCCCATGCTGACCATGTGCCGGATTCTGAATCTGGCGGAGGCGTGTGAGGTGGTGGCGAACTTGCAGCTGGCGGTGTGTGGGGCCACGCGGAGCTTTCCGAGCAGTTACGGTCCAGGATCCCGAGGGTCCTGCGTGTCTTTGGCAGAATCGCTCGAGTCGCCGTTGGCACCCGTGTCGGAAGCGCCCGCCGGGGTAGCGCCCTTAGCGCGTACCTTCCCCCGCCACGTGGGGGATCTTGTAGGGGCTGCTCAGGTCGGGACTCCTGTGGACACACTTCAGTCGTCGGCGCATCTCCTCCTTGCAATGACGGCGTGCATGCGCTCGATGCTTGAGGTGGAGGGGGCGGAGCCGTACACGATGTAGGCTTTCGCCTAGTGTAGAACTGCATGCCGTGTTGTCTTGTTTTAGTCCTGCTCTCCTGCTTTCTTTGCATGTGCGTTCTTACCCGTATTGGTAGTCCTCCGCCTTGTTCCTTGCCACCAGGAGCGCGCGGCCGGAGGCCGCGCAAGCGAGCGGCAGCGGCCGAAGGCCGCCGGCGCGAGCCGCCGAAATTGAACACCACACGAAATAATGAGGAGAAAAAGGCCAAAGCCCCCTTAAAAGGCTCTGGAGAGCAGAGGGCAGAGGGATGAGGCAGAGGGCAGAGGGCTAAGGGAGTCTCTCTCTCCCTCTCTCTCTCTCTCTCTCTCTCTCTCTCTCTCTCTCTCTCTCTCTCTCTCTCTCTCTCTCTCTCTCTCTCTCTCTCTCTCTCGCTCTCTCGAACGACCGCCGAAATTGAACACCACACGAAATAATGAAAGAAGCAAGGCACTAGCAGCCTTTATGTAGGCAAGGGAGGATGAGGGCAGAGGGAAGAGGCTGAGGGAAGAGGCTAAGGGTTCCCTCTCTCTCTCTCTCTCTCTCTCTCTCTCTCTCTCTCTCTCTCTCTCTCTCTCTCTCTCTCTTCTTTCCAACCCCCACGACTCCCTCCCTCCCCCACAGACCCATCCAAGTCCTTTGAGCTATGCGACATCACTGACTCAGCATCTCTTGTCGCCATCATCTGTGTCCCAGGCCTCTTCACAACCCTCCCCTTCTCCCCACTTCCCTCTCCCCCCTTTCTCTTGTGCCCTTCCACCCAGACCCATCAAAGTCCTTTGAGCTATACGACATCACCGACCCAGCCTCTCTCTTCGCCATTGTCTCCCCAGTCCCCCCTCACGCCTACTTCCGCCCCGACGACAAGCTCCCCTACATGCACCCCTCTCCGGAGTCCGAAACCCGCCCCTGGGAGCATCGGGCAGTGGTGCCTCTAGACGAGATGGGAGCAGGCGTGAGAAAATATGAAGTCTGGTGCCGGTGAGTGAGTGAGTGACTGACTGAGCCTTCTCGTGGGGTTATGGGTGAGATTTTTGCGTGCTTTTTCCCGAGACTGCATGCTCGATTCGATAGCTTGATACTCTTGAAATCACTATGTAGGTAGGATGACTTTTGAGTGACTCGAAAAGCGCCTGGATAGCTTGCATTGCATATACAAGTTCTGGTGCAGGCACACTATTGAAAGAATGGTGGGGTGGCCGAGGAAAGAGCTGGGATAAATGGGGGAATATCCCATCTTCACCCTCTTTCTGTGCCCTTGCTTATAGAATATTCACAATAAACATCCACAACCTTGCCGCTCATTTTCATTCCATGCGATTGTTTCCCCATCCAGGCACACACAACCTCCAAACACGTGGCAACAGTGGGACATCCCCACCCCATCCTCATCGCCCTCTTCACACTCCTCGTGCATGGTAGATAAATTTATCTAGTCGACATGCCCTCTTCCTGTTGCTCCCCCCATTCCAGGAACACACAACCTCCAAACACATGGCAGCAGTGGGGCATCCCTATCCTCATCGCCCTCTTCACACTCCTCCTCGTGGTGCTCGTGCTGGTGGCCGCATACCTGCAGCGGAGAAAGTTCCTGCAGACCCAGCAGCAGACGGCAGAGGCAGATAGGCTGAGACGGGAGGCAGATGCAGCAGAGGCATCAAAGAGCATGTTTGTGGCTTGCATGTCTCACGAGCTGCGGACGCCCATGGTTGGGATTATTGGTAAGAGTTTGATGGTACACTGTTGCATTCCTCCTGTTTTTGAGTGTGCTGCACATGTTGCATGAGCTGCAGACCCATGCAGCATCATGGTGCACCAGGCATGAGTGACGCTCTGGCAGACATGGGCCTAAACTCATCCCATCTTTTGAGGTGCCTCAAAAGCTGCAGATGCCACCAGGCATGATTGACGCTCTGGCAGACATGGGCCTAAACTCATTCCATCTCGCCGACCTGCTAATGGCCGGGGCATCAGCAAGAGATGTACTGCATCTGGTCAACTGTGTGTTTCTCTCAACTCCATCACTGCACCCTTCTGCTTCCCACCCACTCCCTCAAGCAGTCCTTCATTGATGGGTTTATAAGAATACAGGCATGGTAGGGACAGGTGCTTCCCACCCACTCCCTCTCTCTCTCCCACATCCCCCTTCCCCCACCAGACATGCTCGACGCTCTAGCGAACATGGGCCTGAACGCCTAAACACTCTAGTGCACCCTACACCTTCCCACCCACTACCGCTCTCCCTCGCACATCCCCCTTTCCACACCAGGCATGATTGATGCTCTAGCGGACATGGGCCTGAACGCCTCCCAGCTAGCAGATCTCCTCATGGCCGGGGCATCAGCCAAGGATGCACTGCATCTGGTCAACCGCGTGTTGGACCTGGCGAAGCTGGAGGCAGGCAAGGCCATGGTGGATGAGGTGGTGATTGATGTACGGGAGTGGCTTCATGCTACGCTGGGTTGGCATGCACAGGCAGCACGCTCGAAAGGGATCGAAAGTGAGTGGTTTAATGAAGGGGGGTGCACTGCATATGGCAAAGCTGGAGGCAGGCAAGGCGGTGGTGGATGAGGTGGTGATTGATGTACGCCAGTGGCTCCGTGCTGCTTTGGATTGGCATGCGGAGGCAGCAAGCTCCAAAGGCATTGAATGTGAGTGTCTGTTGATTGAATGTGTGTTGATGACTGGTGAGGAGCGCTAGAAGGGGGATGCACTGCGCTCGCCAAGGGATTACCTTTATTGGTCAAGTACACCGGCTCTAGACTCATGTGTGTAGAACACGTTTTGTTCGTGTCTGAAGAACGTGCATGGTCGAAACTCTTCCAACTCTTGGACAAGCAGGATTATGTTTGGAACACTGCCTCTGGCATTTTGTAACACCTTGAGCTATTGCAAGGGCGCCGTCACGTTGTTCTTAACATTGTGTAACATACACTATGTGTCTCATTTCGATGGCATGTGTTTGTTCAATGCACCTTGCCTTCTTTCTCACTTTCATGCGTTGGAAACTTTCACCCTCCTTCCTCCCCATGCAGTGAGCGGCATTGTGGGAGACGAGTGCCCCACGCATGTCATTGTGGACCCCATGCATCTCGGCAGCATGGTCAAGGAGATCACAGGTGGGCTGAACCAGCTGCTGGAAAGCTACTGCTGCCCAAATCTGTGGGTGGGGGGATGATGTGGGCATGCGATGGTAACTGCCATGTGCACGCCCTTGTGATGGTAAAGGATCATCCCACCACACTTACCATCATCCACACCACACCCCACAACACTTACCGTCATCCACACCACACCCCACCACACTTACCATCATCCACAACTCACCACACTTACCATCATCATCCACACCCCACCATGAATGCACCTGTGATCTCCTTGAGCTTCATGGTAGATTTGCAGCTCTTTTGAATGGCCTTCACGTGTTCTGCATATGGTGACCACTTCCACTTACCATTTCCAGTTACCACTTCTGGGTTACCATTTCCAGTTACCACTTCTGGGTTACCATTTCCAGTTACCACTTCTGGGTTACCACTTCTGGGTTACCACTTCCGGTTACCGCTTCCTCAACTATGTTTCAGATAACGCAGTCAAGTTCACAACACAAGGCCATGTGACAGTGCGGATGTCGCTGGTGCCGCAAGGGACAAGCTTGCAAGACACCCTTTGTTGCCAGGGTAAGGCTGTTCTGAGTGGTTGGCTGTAGCGTTGGTGGTGTTTATTCATGCTCAGCTCACGCCCAAGCTCACAATGCTTGCTCGTCCTCATACACTTTCTCTCCCATTTGATAACCTAGTCTCAACCCCACGTCAGTCCTATCCTCTTTCTCATTCGTCAACCTCCCGCCCTCGCTTCCCCCACACCTTTCCCTTCCCACCTCTCCACCCGCATTGCACCTTCTCTCTTCTCCGCTTTTTTAAGGCACATGCACTAAAAAAATCCACTCCACCCACACTCTCTTCTCCCCTCCACGTTTCTCCATATATCCTCGGCCTTTCTTCAGCCACCCCACCCGCACCCACTGCTGCCTGCCACGGCCCATAGTCCATCTTCTTTTCCAGGGCACCTCAAAGCCCGTCTTCCTCTCTCCACGTTTCCCCCGTCCACACCAGGCCTTTCCTCACCACGAGCACCCACTGCTACTGCTGCCCATGGGCTCTCCGCCTGGCTTTGTTCTAGCTGCCGCTGGCTGCTCAAGGCTGTGAGGGGAGAACCAGCAGCATCAACAGGAGCAGCGGGCAGTTCTTGGGGGGAGGGGGGGCATGAGAGGCGGCACGGGAGTCAAGAGAGGAGGCCCACTCGAAAAGCAGGCAGGGAGCGTGGGAGAGGGAATGGGAGTGGGCAAGAGAGGGGTGGAGAGCGGTGCATGCTGGTGCTGTCATGCCAAGACTCGGGCTGCGGCCTCCCAGCGTCTCTCCACACAGCGAGTGGCAGTGAAGGGCCTTCCTACTTCTCCCTCCTCGTGAGCTTCCATCTCTTCCCTCCCTGCTGTTTGTTTGTCTCCCTCCCCTTTTCCGCCTCGTCCCTCTTGTTTCCTCCATCTCCCACCCTCCTCCGTTCCTCCTTTCAGCTGCATGTTTCCGCCTTCCATCCCCCTCCCCTTCCCTTCCCTCCCCTCCCCTCCCCTCCCCTCACCTCCCCTCCCCTCCCTTCCCCTCTCCACTCCCCTCCCCTCCCCTCCCCTCTCCCCTCCCCTCCCCTTCCCTCCCCTCCCCTTTCATGCTCTTCCTTCCCCTTTCCTCCTCTTCCCTCCCCTCCCCTCCCCTCCCCTTCCCTTCCCTTCCACCCTCCTCTCCCTCGCTCACTCCTCTTCTCTCATGATTTACCTCACACAGCCCAACACACTCTCTTCTCACACAGCCCAACACACCCTCTACTCACACAGCCCAACACACTCTCTTCTCACACAGACCAGCACACTCTCTTCTCACACAGCCCAACACACTCTCTTCTCACACAGTCCAACACACTCTCACACTCTCTTCTCACACGGCCCAACTCTTCCCACTCTACTCGTCTGGTAATGTTCAGAGCTGACTGACAACATGCCCATCCCTCACATGCCCATCTCTGTTAAATCGCTTTTGAGAATACTCAAAAGCGATATCAACTCGTCTGGGAATGTTCAGAGAGTTGGCTGACAACATGCCCATCCCTCACACGCCTATCTCAAACATGTGTCATTCGCACGCACTTTCACACCGCCCATCTCAAACATGTGTCATTCGCACGCACTTTCACACCGCCCATCTCAAACATGTGTCATTCGCACGCACTTTCACACCGCTCATCCCGTCTCTTCTGTTGCCACTCTTCCAGGAATCGCGGGAGCAGAGGGAAGCCAGGAGTGGGTCAGGGGCAGCACTTGGGCTCGTGTTGGTGCAGCAAACGGTGAGTCCCTCAAAGGACACGGCTTATTTTTCACTGTGTTACCAATTCCGATTTTTGAGACGTCCCAAAACTAGAGGGAGGCGCGGAGGGGGTCAGGGGCAGCACTCGGGCTTGTGTTGGTGTGGCAAGCAGTGAGTGCATTAGACATCTGTTCATTCTTCATTTTCACTGTCTTACCAATCCCATGGTGTTGTTGTTGCTGCTGCTGCTGCTGTTCAATTCTAGGCCCGGTTTTCAATTGTGGAAACACACCTTCTCATCTCTCTCCTCCTTCTTCTTACTCTCCCCCAGGTGACTCTAATGAAGGGAGAGCTCGCCTTTGACTCACAGCCCGGGTGTGGCAGCACAGTGGCTTTCTCTGTGCCTGTAGCCACCCCCCCGTTACAAGAACACTGTCCAGAGGAACAGCATTCAGGCAGTCAGGAACCACAGCAGCAGCAGCAGCAAGAGCAGGATCAACAACAAGGGGAAGCCGTATGGCATGGCGAAGGGCAAATGGGTGGGTCAGGAGAATTTTCAGGTGCCTGCAGCAGTGGCCATGAGCATGACACGGAGTCAGGAGAGTATTCAGGTGCCAGCAGCAGATGGCTGCTGCTGCACAGCCAGGCGAGTGATCAGGTGACTCAACAAAACCAGAGCCACCAGCAGCACCAGCAAGAGCAGCAGCAGCAGAATCAGCAGAAACAGCAGCAGGGAGCGAGCTCCTTTCAGCGAGGCTGGAGCGAGAGCGAGAAATCGAGTGTGTGTGCGAGTGCACATGAGGGTGGGAGTGTACGTGAGGGTAGTGCAAGGTGTGGGCGATCTATCTCATTGTGCGAATCTGGAACAACCACTGTTGCTGCTGGCATGGGCATGCGTGCAGGCATGGGTGCTGGTGCTGTTGCACGTGGTAGTGGTGGTAGTGCTCGTGTTGGTGGTGCGGTGGATGAGGCGGTGACGCGGGCGTGGGTGGGGGGGCTGCGAGTGCTAGTGGTTGACGACACGCCCGTCAACCTCCTCGTGGCCCGCCGCTCCCTCGCCCGCTGGGGTTCCATTGTGACCACAGCTTCACGTGGGGAGGAGGCTATTGACTTCATTGCTGCTGGAGTGGCGGAGGGGAGAGGGCAGGAGGAGGGGAGAGGCGAACATGCTGTTGGGGAGGAGGCGAGAGGAGAGCAGGAGGCATGTGCATCATTGCAGCATGGCTTCGACTTGGTTCTCATGGACCTGCAGATGCCGGGCATGGACGGGTGAGTGGTTGTTGTGAGGGGTGGTGAGTGGTGGGCATGGGCGGGTGAGTGGTTATGAATGGTTGTGAATAATGGGCATGGTTGTGTGAGTCATGAACGTGCATACGAAACCTTTCCCTGTGCGAACCTGGTTCATAGCAAACTTGATCCCTCTCTGCTTGATATCTCTTTTGTTCCTTCCTCCTGTTCCTCCCTTCCTGCTGTTCCTCCCTTCCTCTGTTCATCCCTTTCCCCTGTTACTCTTGCCGAGGCAGCTTTGCAGCAGCAGCAGCCATACGAGCCCTTGAGAGGAGAGTGGAGTTTGAATCAATTTCACGGGCACGGCAATCGCAGCAGCATAGGCCGCAGCACACCCCTTCGGATCTGCCCGTCCCACCCCTAGAATTTGCGAACCCTGCTGCTGCTGCGGCAGCCGCCGCAGCCGCCGCCGCAGCCGCCGCCGCCGCCGCTGCTGCTTCTGCTGCAACTTCTGGTGCTGCTGGTGTTGCTGCTGCTTCTCCTGCTGCTGGGTGGCCCGTCTCCCTGCGGGTGCCCATAGTGGCTCTGACGGCAGACGTGGATCGCGGAGTGGTGCAGAGGTGTGCAGAGGGGGGGTTTGACGGTGTGCTGCAGAAGCCAGTGGATGCCCACCTGCTCGCCGCCCACCTCTCCCACATGCACTCCCAGAGATCCCTCCTGCGGGTCGGGTCACACCCCGCTCTTGGTCAAGCTACGGACAGATACGACTGATGCAGCACTGAATGATCTTTTAGACGGCTCAAAACTCATGCCTGGCGGGCCGTGTCAATTTATGAAAACGGATTCGACAGATGCAACGGCCAATTATGCAGCAGTCACTAATCCAACGGCTTGAAAATCACCTCTTCTAGGCGCATAAAAGCTAACTTCTATGGGTCGTGGTCATAACACACTCGGGTCGTGGGTTGTTTCATTGAGTCTGAAGGCCAGCCCAACCACTGACAAATACGACACTTACTGCAGCCAATGATCAGCATTCAACATTGTTTACAAGAGCAGAGCACACCCGGGTTGTTTCACTATGTCTGAAGACCACCCCACCCCAACCACTGACATGTGCGGTACGTGCAGCAGCCAGTGATATTTCGACTGAGTAAGACTTGCTCAGGTTGCTTCTCTGTTCCTGAGAAAAACTACTGACTTATATATGACAGGCACGCCAAATCATGCTGCTATTGCACTGACTGATCAGGTGGTGCCCTGATTGGACAGATTGTGCTAGCTGCATTTCTTACTACCGTATATGGTTTATAATAAATTATCTTAAATGACGGTCTGCATGTTTAGCACACCAAACAAATGCTTTACTTGAGCCTAGGGCAGTGCTAGGCACTAATTAGTCTGCACTGACTGGCTGGAAAGTGGTCGTGCGTTGTGAACTTGTGACCAAACTACGTAGTCAGGTGGATGGATTTGTCTTTTACTAAATGCTAGTGGATGGCTCATGCAGATCTGGGTTCTATAGTATTCAGCAAATGTTGACTATGGTTAAACATGTTAGAAACTAGACGAGGGAAAATGATTGCATTGAGAAGAAAGTTGGTACAAGTGCTAACCCTAATTGGGTTGTACCCCTTATGGGCTACCCCACTACAGCCTACACAATATAAACATTATGACAGTTTGACAAAACATGCACATCAAACTGAAGCTATCCTACAACTTGCATCAATAACTGCCTCGTGAACTGTTAACCCATCAATAGCTATAAAACCATTTAAACTGCAATCAACAACTGGAATGCACCAATCCTCCCTGCATGCCAGTACTCCGCATTGTTGTCCTTTTTCCCGGGCCTGGGGTACCATTCATCGTCATCACATGCCCAGTCCTCCTCCTCACCAGCAGCATCTACTGCACCATGACTTGCCTCAGCATTCAGCAGCATCAAACTGATTCTATCCTACAACTTGCCTCAGCATTCATGGCCTTTTCATCCCCATTGTCAACATGAACCCCACATTGAGCATTCGCTTCCCTGCAGCTGGAATCATCTTCGTCATCCTCTCCCCTTGTGTCTTGTAGAATGAATTCAGTAGGTGCCTCGTAAAACGGTTTCGCTTCATCTTCCTCCGCGTTCCCCACATGGACATCATCCATGATCTCGACTCGACTCGACTCCTCCCTTGCCACGATGAAGGGCGAGAATCAAACGCTCCTTGCTGCTTTGAGTTGTGTGTGCCAATCCAAAGCAGCACGAAGCCACTCACGCACATCAACCACTGTCTCATCCGCCACCGCCTTGCCTGCATCCAGCTTCGCCAGGTCCAACACGCGGTTGACCAGATGCAGTGCATCTCTTGCCGATGCCCCAGCCATGAGGAGATCCGCTAGCTGAGAGGCATTCAGGCCCATGTCCGCCAGAGCGTCAAGCATGCCTGGTGGGCAAGAGGGATGGATGTGGGAGAGAGAGGGGAGTGGGTGGGAAGGAGTAGGGTGCAGGTATGGAGCTGAGAGAAACACGCGGTTGACCAGACGCAGTGTATCACTTGCTGATGCTTCCCCCCCTCCCCCCATGAGGAGATCTGCTAGCTGGGAGGAGTTGAGACCCATGTCTGCTAGAGCGTCGAGCATGCCTGGTGGGGGATAAGGGAGGGATGTGGAAAGAATAACGGTGCACGTATGGAGCGAAGAAGAAGGGCCATGTATGATTGACCAAATGTAGTGTACCTTTGAAATCAACACTGTACCTACTGCACTCTGGCTCTTTTTCTTACGCGCCTACAAAAAACACACTCAGTAAAGCATGAACACTGCACTTACCAGGAATCCCAACCGTGGGTGTTCTGGGCTCGTGAGACATGCACGGTATACTCAAAGACACAGGAGGAGGATCACAATCATACCAGTTATCCCAACCATGGGTGTTCTGAGCTCATGAGACATGCACGCGACAAACATGCTCTTAGACGCCTCTGCACGCTCCGCCTGCCGTCTCAGCCTATCTGCTTCCGCCACCTGCTGCTGGGTCTGGAAGAACTTGGCGCGCTGCAGGCAGGCTGCCAGCAGCACGAGCAGCACGAGGAGGAGCGCGAAGAGGGCGATGAGGATGGGGATGCCCCACGATTGCCATGCGCTGGGAGGCTGAGTGTTCCTGGAATTGGGGGGAATAACAGGAAGAGGGCACGTAGGTTATAGTATGTATGCATATGTTGCTGTGCACGGGCATAGTAACAGGGCGATGAGGATGGGGACGCCCCACGATTGCCATGCGTTGGAAGGCTGTGTGTGCCTGGATGAGGGGGGGATTAACAAGGTCTTTTCTCTATAATATTTACAACACAGGGGCATAGTAAGAGGGTGAATAGGGCGAGGAGGGCGAAGAGGGAGATGAGGATGAGGATGCCCCACTGCTGCCATGCGCTGGGGGGCGGCGTGTGCCTGGATGGGGGTGGGTTGGAGATAACACGAAGGAGGTGGATATTCGCGGGCTCATAAGAAATCCCACATAATGCTTTGAAGAGCGTACCTACACCAGACCTTGTATCTGAAAGCTATCCAGATAGGTTCTGGACAAACTCAATAGTCATCCTACATAATGCTTTGAAGAGCGTACGTGCACCAAGCTATCCAGATCAGATGGCTTTTGAGTCGACTCAAAATTCATCCTACATAATGCTTTGAAGAGCGTACGTGCACCAAGCTATCCAGAGGCACCAGGTCTCTGTGTTCCTAGGGGCGAGTCCCAGAGTCCGAAGTGGGGTGCATGTGGGGGAGTGAGAGAGCGAAAGGGCGAGTGATAGAGCCCGAGGGGCAGGTTTCAGAGTCGAGAAGGCCCATTCACTCTCCCATAAGGCTTACTCACTCACCTACACCAGGCATGCTCTGCTCTCATCTCCTAGAGGCACCACGGCCCGATGCTCCCAGGGGCGTGTTTAGGAGCCGACAAGGCTCACTCACAGCCTCACGAGAAGGCTCACTCACTCACCGGCACCAGACTTCATATTTGCGCACGCCTGCCCCCATCTCAACTAGAGGCACCACTGCTCGATGCTCCCAGGGGCGGGTTTCGGACTCCGGAGAGGGGTGCATGTAGGGGAGCTTGTCGTCGGGGCGGAAGTAGGCGTGAGGGGGGACTGGGGAGACAATGGCGAAGAGAGAGGCTGGATCGGTGATGTCGTATAGCTCAAAGGACTTTGATGGGTCTGTGTGCGAGGGGGGAAATGGGGGAATGGAAGGGGTGGGGAGGAGGGGGAGTAGTGGGGGAGAGGGAGTGAGAGAGTAAGAAGAGCACAAAACATATGACAAGTCCTCTAGGTGCGTAAAAGTTACAACTCTTCCAGGACCTTCTGTGCACTAGTCCGTACACTGGTTTCACATTCACTGCTAACTGTTTCGAGCTGTGAATGGGGACTCATGAGGCGCCTGGAAACTCACCAGGTGCATACAACTCCTCTAGGACCTTCTGTGCGATGTAAGTCACGCCAATAGATGCAGCAAGTGAAAACGCAATGCTTCCATTGCTGATTGCCTCGAGGAGTTAGTGGGGACTTGTGAGACGCCTGGAAACTCACCAGGTGCATACAGCTCCTCTAGGACCTTCTGTGCGATGTAAGTCAAGTCAATAGATGCAGCAACTGACCCGTACACTTCTCCTGCTGCATACTGTCTCGAGCTGTTAACAGGGACTTGTGAGGCGCCTGAACACTCACCAGGTGCACAGAACTCCTCTAAGACTTGCTGTGCGATGTAAGTCACGTCAATAGATGCAGCCGGTGGCCTGTACACTGCTCGTGCTGCAGACTGTTTCGAGCTGTTAATGGGGACTTATGAGGCGCCTGAACACTCCCCAGGTGCATACAGCGCTTCACTCACCAGGTGCATACAGCTCCTCTAAGACCTGCTGTGCTATGTAAGTCACGTCAATGGATGCAGCAAGTGAACCGTACACTGTTCCCACTGCTGATTGCCTCGATTTGTTGGTGGGGAGGCTGCTGCGGAGAGGAAATGCGACACCTGCGGCAAGGTTGGGAGAATGAAGGGGGGTTGGAGACAGATGGACACACCTAAAGCCGCCTGATTGGAAACACCAAGCATTCTGTGTGGTGCTTCTGCTGCTGCTGATCGCCTCAAGGGCTTGGTTGGTGGGGAGGCTGCGGAGGAGAGGAAAGGCAACTCCTGAGGCGGGGTAGGAAGAGACAAAAGGACCGGAAGCAGGTATTTATTACTTATTGTCACTTGTGATTCGATGGCGAAGTTGCATCCTTGACTCGGCGCATGAGTGAGAGAGAGGGATCTCCAAGGAGGGTAATCCTTTTTGTGCAAGAACTCTGGGGAACTTCAGAGGCTATTACTCACTCACGGGATGCAGCCATGTGTGAAAAAAAAAACCAGACCATTGCTATCTTACTCACCAAGTTAAGATCAAGGAAGAAACACACACACACACACACACACACACACACACACACACACACACACACACACACACACACACACACACACACACACACACACACACACACACACACACACACACACACACACACACACACACACACACACACACACACACACACACACACACACACACACACACACACACACACACACACACACACACACACACACACACACACACACACACACACACACACACACACACACACACACACACACACACACAACAAACACACTCACTAGACCTTTGAGGTGCTTCATAAGGAGCTGCTCCCTTCCCCACTCACCGAATCCGGCATGGGTGAGGGAGGCGAGGGGGTAGGGCCAGGAGTAGAAGTGCCTTCCCTCCTCCACGAGTGGAATCAACGAATAGAATCGTTGAAACATGTCGACGTTGCTGGGGCCGTTGGTGGCAAAGAGCGTTGTGAGCTCGAGGATTTTGGGGCAGTAGATGGGGCGGCGGGCACTGACAACCAGCGTGTTGTCTCTGATGCTGCCGTACTGCTTCTCAAAGGCCGGCCTGCCGCAAAGTGCGTGGGATCGGGTAAGAATGGATGAGAGGCAAGATGGAAAATAAAAGAAATTTGCCATTAGCGTTGCGTCCGCCAACCCTTTTACGCACACATACTAGTTATTCTTATGTTTGCGTAACACTCCTACCGCTGATAGTAAGTCTGGGGCAGTGCAGATTGGGATGAGAGTAAACTCGAAACAGGGGAAAACTCGAAACAGGGCAAATCAGGTCCCATTAATCTAACTCTCGAATCCCCTCCACCCTCTCTGCTCTCCACTTCACCACACCAACCTCCCTCCCCTCTCAGCTCTCTGCATCCCACACAACCACACCCTAACCGCATGATCAATGAGACATCTCAGACCTCTCCCTTCTCACCACTCTCCCAAACTCTCACCTCCCTTCAACCTTTCCTCTCTCTCCACTCCACTCCCACCGCCCTCCCTTCTCACCTTTCTGCATCGCGCACCAACGCACATGCGAGTGCACCCGTGTTCCCCGGGCGGGCTTGTGCAATGCGAGTGAGATAAGACACCCACATGCTGCCGTTCAAACACCGGCCCATGTCCCACTTGCCCCGCTGCCCTGGCGTTCCCATCACAGATATCAGCCCCGCCAGAGTCTGAAGAACGGGGGAAAAACGGAATCAGAAGATTATATTATGTGAGTGAACGGAACAAGCTCAACAGCAAAAGGCACGAGCTGCTGTAGCATGAGGGCATGAGGGTATGAGGGTATGAGGGCATGAGGGTATGAGGGCATGAGGGCATGAGAGCATGAGGGCATGAGGTTATGAGGGCAGCACTCCAACCCAGCCTCATCTCACCTGCATCTGCCCGGCGTGGGCCAGCACGAGCTGCTGCAGCATGAGGGCGCGTTCCTTGCACCACACGCCTAACGCCTCCTCCCGGTGCCTCTCATACTGCGAGTGCCGGTCCCACAGCAGCCATGCCGCTGTCACGGCACCGCATGCTACCCACACGACCACCAGCACCGTGAACAGGGGCGCTGTGAGAGGATGGGGAGGGATGGGAGAGAGAGGGGAGGGAGAGCGGAGAGAATAGTGAGGATGAGAGAGGGGAGAGTAGGGAGAGTAGGGAGAGTGAGAGAGCACCACACGCCCAGCGCCTCCTCTCTGTGCCTCTCATACTGCGAGTGCCGGTCCCACAGCAGAGCAGCCATGCAGCTGTCACCGCGCTGCATGCTACCCACACGACCACCAGCATCGTGAACAACGGTGCTGGGAGGGGGAAGGGAGGGAGGGAATTTAGGGGGAGGAGCAGGAGAAGGATGGGGGAAGCGAGGGGTGAGAGGGAGGGGTTGCTGCTGTTGCTGTGCCGCATGCCACCCACACGACCACCAGCACCGTGAACAGGGGAGCTGGAAGAGGAATGGGAGGGAGGGAATGCGGAGGGAGGAGCAGGAGAAGGATGGGGGAAGCGGAGGGTGAGAGGGAGGAGCTGCCGCTGCCACTGTGCCGCAGGCTAACTACACGACCACCAGCACCGTGAACAAGGGAGCTGGGAGGTGGAGGAGAGGGAGGCCATGAGGAATATCAGTGCAAGCAACGTTTGAGGGGGGGATTGAGAGGTGAGAGAGGAGGGCAAGTGAGAGAGGAGGGGACAGGCGAAGGGAGGCGCAGAGAGAATGGGAGGGAGGGGGGATGTGAATTGAGACACCAGTGCAAGTAGCATTTTCTGAGAGTGTTTAGCAATAGAGCAACTCAGGGACTCAAAGTAACGTCTCCTGAAAGCATGTGGCGGCACAGAGCACAGCTCCGCGGTTTGACCAGACCAGCATGAGATCCGTAGGCATGAGATCATCATGAGATCCCAGGCATGATAAGATCCCAAGTACGCATGATGAGATCTCTACGCATGATGAGATCTCTACGCATGATGAGATATCCAGGCATGATGAGATCTCTAGGCTCTATGCATGAGATCTCTAGGCATGATGGGATCTCTAGGCATGATGGGATCTCTTCTAGTAGAAGGCATGATGAGATCTCTAGAAGGCATAATGAGATCATTAGAAGGCATGATGAGATCCCTAGAAGGCATGATCTAGAAGGCATGATGAGATCTCTAGAAGGCATGATGAGATCTCTAGAAGGCATGATGAGATCTCTAGAAGGCATGATGAGATCCTACTAGGCTTAGTCAAGCGGTCATACTCATGTGATCCTAGCCATGCGATCCCAGGCTTGCGACCCTGGTCACACGGGTTGAGAGAAGGATGGGAGAGGCAGAAAAGGGAGTGGGAGAGAGGGGAAGACCCTTCCCTTTTCCGTCTGGCGAGTCGGACGGCCAGAGAGATGTCACGGAAGAGGGAGACGGAGATCGAATCTCGTCCTACTACCGATTCTAATCCTCACATTCCTGGGATAGAGCCTAAGCACACTTCCCTCATTGTTACCCTGGAATAGTAGTACTACTAGCCTACGACTAGGCCCACATTCCTCGTTGTTGCCCTGGAATAGTAGTACTACTAGCCTACAACTAGGCCCACATTCCTCGTTGTTACCCTGGAATAGCACCGAGGAGCAACCGACTGGAGCTCCCGCCACTGCCGTGTTATCCTCCCCATCCCCCGCCTGTTTCTGCTTCAAGCAACTTGGGAGGTGCCTTCTCCAACCGTCGCCGTGCGCTTTCGGCGTCATCAGAAGCTGCTACTAGAACAGCTGTGACTGCTGGACCGCCACCGATTTCCCTGTGCATGGCCAGCGGCGAGCGGGGCTCGCGGCAGAACGGTATATTAATCAGTCGTAGCTTACAAATTCACTGACAAAGGTGTGGAAATAGTGGTTGTTATTGGGTCTATCTCAGCCATTCACGGTCAAAGTTATCCTTCGGTGTTGTCTTGATATCCTCAGCCAACTAGCTGATTCAGTGTGGGAAACCCATTTCTTGGACACCACAATCACAACCCCAACTGAACCGATATGACATGCCAATTCTGGAGCAGATTCCTAGGGTGTTTCACACGGGTACAATTGGATTTTCTATTATTTCTCCCAACAAAATCCAGCAACTTCAGGACTGACCCTTACAAACTCGAGTGCTTCTCGGAACCCATTCCATGTTCTAAAACTAGATTGATGTTCAACCACTCTTCTCTACAGTGAGGCTGAAATACGGATACCTTCCCATTCTCCTTCCCTTCAACGAAAAACAAAATAATTTTAGAAAAAACATTTTCCTTCACTGCGGTTTGTCCCCCAGCTGTGAGGGGAAGAAGGGGTGGAGGTGTTGCAAGGCATGCGATGAATTTGCTCCTGAGATGTGAAACTGCACCAGGAACATGAAACGGGAAAGATTTTTTATAACATGAAGCCTCCTTGTATATTATCACAGAAGATCTGTCTGGGGCTCCTAAAAAACCTTGTTGCATCTGAGCTGGCGAAGGTAGGGCAGCAGGCCAGGCCGTTGTAGCTGAAAAGATTTTTATGCGAGTGGGAGAAAGTGACGTGAGGTGGCGTGAGGGCACCCCACTGCTGCACCCACATTCTCGCCACACGTAATTTGGCTTGCACGGGCACGGCAATGATCTGGCTGCAAGCGGGTAGGCAACAGTTTTAGATTGACAACATTCTGCCAAACTGCCACACATCACGTATGGTCACAAAATTTAATGCTCAATAGAACATAAAAACTACCTGAGTTTCGATCTAGATTCAGGAATATTTATCTCACGCACGGTTTTGTTCGTGTCACTGCAAACCACTGTTATAACCGAAATTAGTTAGCAACCAATTCTGAAAACCTGTTCATGCAAGTTACTATGTCTTCCACCCCTCACGGTACACCCTCTTTCTCAACCTTTTCACCTTGCGCGACTCGTCGCTACAGTACTTGTCTCATGCGATCTGGTGCCAATAAACGTTCCTAGGCAACCTGGGGGGAAAGCCGGACCACGTGACAAACTGGCTCAAGGACGTAAAATCTCCGTAATCGCTTCATAACTTTCTCAAACAGATGAAAACGTTGACAACGCTTTTTGTAAAGTGCATAACCTTACCTAACCGCATTCTTCGCATTGTGCTTGTACAGAAGGTGACAAGACCATTCTGAACGTGGTGACGTTCTACAATCCATGTACGTTCTCCAACCAGGTGCTCTACTAGCGCGAAAGAGGGTGTACATGTTGTACATTCTTGTGAAGATTGAAACAGAAATGAATGAGAGAAAGAGAGGGGTTTCACTAGCAAGCAGTTGAGTACATATAGCAAACCCTAAATTGGGTTGTACTGACTATTGAGTACCCCACTGCAGGCTAGACAAAACATAACATTCTGACACACCCCCATAGCCAAAGTGGGGTGTAATCAGCACAACAAGCAAGCAAAAACACAAGCTCAGGGTGGATCACAATGTCACCACACAATCTGAGCACAAGTACAAGAAGCAGCAATTTATAGTTCACAAATGTAAGCAAAGCTAGAGGCTATCGCAGAGGGCAAGTGTGGAGGAGGAGAGAATATGAGAGGAGAGGAGGTAGTGGGCGGCAGCTGAAGCTGCTGGCACACGGCGCAACTGGAGCAACTGGCACACGGGCAACTGGAGCAACTGGCACACTGGCAACTGGAGCAACTGGCACACGGGCTACTGGAGTAACTGGCTCCGCGGCTAACTCTGAGCGACAGGAGCAACGGACTCACGGGCGACTGGAGCAACTGGCTCACGGGCGACTGGCGCAACGGGCTCACGGGCGACTGGCGCAACGGGCTCACGGGCGACTGGAGCTGCGGGCGTCACGGCGGCCACCCCCCTTCAACCTCCCCAAACTATCCCACCCCCCTTTCACACACCCCCTGCTGCACCCCTAGGTTCACTCACACACGCCTCCCCCTTAGTACCACTCCGTCGACTCCCACACACCCACCCCCCTCAGCGGCAGCTGCAGCAGTGGGAGACAGAGGAGGAGGAGGAGCAGGGGTGAACACACACCCGCCACCCCCTACTCGCCACCCCCAAACCCTAACACAGGGCAGGGCGGGATGGCGGGTAGGGAGGTTACGGGGGGGGGGGGGGGGGCCGACGCGCGGCCTCCCAGGGCACCAAAACAGGCGGGAGAAGGGGCGACGCTCGGCCCCCCCCCCAGGTCGCCGGACCCCTCAGGTCGCCCCGCCAGGCGACGGGAAAAGAGGGGGGGGGGGGGGGGGTGCGAGGGCCCCCGGTGCGCCGCGACAGGCGGCGGGACATGGCCGGGGTGGGGCCGGGGCAGGGCCGGGGCAGGGTCGGGGCAGGGGCGGGGCAGGGCCGGGGCAGGGCCGCGACAGGGCCGCGACAGGGCCGGGGCAGGACCGCGTCAGGGCCGCGACAGGTCCGAGACAGGGCCGGGGCAGGGGCCGCGACAGGGTCGCGAAGGGCGACGGGGCAGGGCCGAGGCGAGGCCGTGACAAGGCCGCGACAGGGCCGCGACGGGGTCGCGAAGGGGCCACGAAGGGGCCACGAAGGGGCCACGAAGGGGCCGCTAAGGGCGCTTCGGGCAGCAGGGCAGAAAAAAAAGTTTTAGCGAAGTGGTGGGCCCGAGGAAGGAACAGTCCCAGGAGGGAACCAGCTCTATACCATGTGAAGATTGAAACAGGAATGCATGAGAAAAAGAGAGGGGTTTCACTAGTAAGCAGTTGAATACATATAGCAAACCCTAAATTGGGCTGTACTCACTATTGAGTACCCCACTGCAGGCTAGACAAAACATAACATTCTGACAACTCTATCCATGAAATGTGGTTCGTCATCATCATACATTGTTTCATTTGTTAGTGTCAGTCATCTTTTGTTTGCATAACTGATTGAAAGATTTACAGTAAATACCTGTCATTTGACTCGCATGTGAACATGTAAATAAGGAACATAAATATATGAAACTTATTATAGCATCTGCCAGTTCAATTAAGCATTGGCTTGATGGTTGTATATCATATTCAACATCATTTCTAATAGGGTGCTCTTGATAGATAGGTTTATCAAATAAAAAATGCAATTGTACATTATATATAAAAATTCTAATTCGGTTATGCCATCACAACTTCATCTTCAATGTCTCCGCCACTTCAAGAATAAGTCACGCCATCTCTCTTTGACATTTTTATAAAACAAAATCATATTGATAATTTCACTTTGAACGATATTGATGCAATCACTTTTTCACTGGTAAGCTTTATTGGCACTATGATTTTGTACCGCATTATAACAGCCAAGAGAGTGCTAGTATATCGCAACTGTTTGGTTGAAACAGTGCACACGAAGATTAAGGTTGGAATTTTTGTCTTTATAATCTGGATACACTTTATAAAAATACGCATATTTTGTTTTTTTTTTGTTTTACTTTCTTTATGTTCACGATACATTTTATTAAAACCGTATTTGCGTACGATAACTGAAAGTATAACTTGGCATTATATTAGTGAATGTAACACATAGAGTGGCTAGCTAAGTACTCGAAATAGTACATTCCCTTATTACACAACCATAACCATATATTTATACACCCAGTGCGGTTGTTTCGAAATATATGGTTACCGTAAGCCCCCGGATAGAAGCGCAGGCCTCGGATAAGCGCCGGCGCTTATATCCGGTCCTCGATTATAAGCCCACCCCCTAAAAAAAGATGATTTATTATAAGCGCATGTTGTTTTTTCATTTGAAAGCCTGACGAAATGCAGAAACGAATTTCACATTATCAGGGA